GAGTAGTGGTTAGACACTTTGCTGTTGTTTGCAATAGGCCTTGGTTCTATTCCCATGTGGGTAGAATGTTCATTAAGTATCTCGATTGTTCTGCTGAATACTCTTATAGTCACAGACTGAACCTGTCTAGCAGGAAGAACTGAAGCCTGCCTCTTAAATGATGATGGGAGAGAAAATAAAGAGAGACAAATAAAGAGAGAGAGAGAGGGGGGCAGAGAGGGGAAGAGAGATAGAGAGAGGGGGGTCAGATGGAAAGACACAGAGGCAAAGCGAGAGAGAGAGGGGGAGAGAGAGAGAGAGAGAGAAAGAGAGAGAGAGATAGAGAGAGAGAGAGGGAGAGAGAGAGGGAGAGAGAGAGAGAAGCACTCTGGAGACAAAATATATTCATTTTCTGGAACATCCTAATGCGGTTTTGACAACACACACACGAACACACACTCACACACAAGACACACACTCACACACACACACACACACACACACACACACACACTCACACACGCACTCACAAACACACACACCCACCCAAAGAAAACCAACAAACAAACAAATAAACATGATGATGCCCAATTGATCTTCATCGTTTTCTCGCACGGCACCCATAAGACGTCAGTTCGATTCCCAAGCCAGGTAGTCTATTTTGTCGAGCATCTATCGTCGTTCTGCTAAATTATATCATGCGGATGTGGGGGAAACCACCTTTTAAAATGTTTACAGTCTCTAACCTTCACCATTGGCATTTTTGCTACTGTAACTGAAACACTGCACTGTTTCCTCACCACGTTCAGTTTCGGTGTCCGGGCTCAGGGCAGGGGGAACGGAATCTCTGAGCGGAGGTCTGGTTCCCAGCTGCCCCATTTCAGATCACTATTGTCTGCGCTGGAAAGGTTGTGTTACCACAATAATATATCTAAACATGTATCTATCCAGGCATTTGCAAACGGAACCCCCGCATTTAGCCAAGAAAATAATAGAAAAAAAGACAATAATTATTTTAAGACTTGGATTGTCAGACTGTAAAAATGCTACTCGTATGTAGATGAGGTAGCACTTTACCTGCCAGGCCAGAAGTGAACAATATGAAATCGTGAGAACCTTTTCCCCGACGGACAGCACGATTAAATGCAGAGTCCTTTACTTAAACTTAAACAATCTCTGTGCAAATCATTTCAGTTTTACAACGCTTTTCTTTTATCAATGGTATCGTATTATTTTGACTTAGCTACCCGGTGCCAAGTCACAGCTGTTTTCACTGTCATTTCTCCCTGTTTTTGAAAGTACGCTGACACACGCTTACGTCTCAAGCCAATCACCAGAGTCTGGAGGTGTGATGGACTAGCTAGGTAAGGTCGCTTTGCCGTGCCAAAGCCAAAGAAAGGATGCGTTTGGTTCTCAGGAGGGGAGGGTAATAATAATAATAATAATAATAATAACAACTTATTATTATTAATAATATTATTGTTATTACCATTATCATAATATTATTATCATTATTGTTATTATCATTATTATTATTATTATTATATTGAATGTCTCCGATCTCAGGTAAAAAAAATGTCAAGCATAGTTCGATCGGTTGCATACTCCTCAAATGTGATGGCACCTAAATCATTTATATAATTTGTACTAAAAAAACCTCTTGCAAATCACTCAAGTTTCTCTTCTCCACCCACTTCTGTTGCCGACATTTCTAGGTCCCACTCTCCACTTCTTTGAACAGTGAATAAAACAAAGGAACTCATTATTCATGATCAACAAAATAAGTCAGAGTCGATTCTTGATTCTGGAATTTTTATTATATGAGCAAAACAGTCATGCTATATCAATATAAAATATAAAGTTTTGTCTCACACTCGGAGGAATAAAATCCTAAATCCCAAAACCAGTGTATAAATATCACAAGGCTTGATAACAGTAATAGGGTGTGGTAGTGTAAAGCAGCTCTGTGCAGTTCCCTTGTACATTTTCAAACCTCTCTAAATAAATGCATTCGGCTGTTCTTAAAATCAAAAGAAAAACAACAACAAAAAAAACAATCATTCAAAATGAAAACAAGTGGCTGTCCAAAAGTATTGCAGACTTATGAGAAATGCTGGTGCAGTCTTGAACATGTACAATAATTCAATTTGGGCTCAACACAGCTGTTACCTGAAACTCCATTTTCTTATATAATCATGTTGTCATTGTTTTGAGACTTTATTAAATGCAGTCCACTCCTGGTCGCTGGCCTATTGGCATTTAGCAGGTGGACATTTCAAAGGCAGACATTTGATAAAACAGACATTCAGCTTACAAATTTTCAGATGAAATAGAAAAATATGTTGCATTAATGCAAGCATAACTGTACAGGAAAAGAAAAATCAGTTGTAACCACTTTTAAAATAGGAATGTAAGAAATGCAGTGAATCTATATAAAGCCAAAGAGTGGCTTCAGATGCAAATTTCACAGAAAAGAAGGAAGCTAAATCTTCAATCCACTCTCTCATTCTATGGCATTATTGGCAGGACCTATTGACCTTAACAATGTGTCCTAGGTGGGTCAAATCAGAGGTCATTCTTTTCAAGAACCATTATTACTAGGCATCGCTGAATGCCCCCTATAAAAGAAGTGTCAATATTTTGGTCAGTTCAACTCACACAAGACTGAAGCTTACATATTTCATTGAAATACAACTGATTCATAAGCAAATTACTTTATCTTTCTTTGAAGTTCAATTATTACTATTTTATAAAGCAGTAAAAATGTACAAAACCAAAAAGTAACAACTGCAATTCAAAAGACCAAATGTTGATTCTACCAAATGCACGTTGTGTTGGTGTCCATTCGAACAAATGCATGATTGTGAACAGCCTGCAGTCCAAAAACCTCTGAATCATCTGTCATGATATGGACTAGACTTCATTCGTTAGGAACAAACCAGTCATCTCTGCTTGTGTCAAAGAATAATATTGTCATAAAAAACAAAACAAATCAGAACTGAGCATGTGGTATGAACAACCCTAGTAACCTGATAATAATATATCATAAACACTATAATATCTTTGTCAAGAAATATATACTACGGCTGAATTTCACACATGGAACGCTTTTTTTTTGGTGTAGAACACCCCCACCCGTAACGAATCAAGCATTTATTTATTTCTTTAGAATCAGTAGGGAGACAACTTGTAACATGAAAATGACATGACAGTAGTGAGCTTAAAAAAAATCAAAGGTTGACTGATTACTTATTACAACAAGTTCACTATCCAACACATCTTCACAATGTATCTGACAAATTTGGTGTCAGTTGTCATGTACATGCATATTTGTGTAAAAATAACTGCTTTACATAAAAACAACATTAATAGATTTAGAAGGACTATCACTCAGTATAAATGATATACTGTACATGAAAGTTCTTGTCACACATATTACAGTCATCTAAAGGAGTATTTCCTTTTTTTTTTTGCTTTAGACGACTCACCTTTAACTTCTAAATGCTATCTATTAAATCCGATCTTCTGTATGAAATTTAGTGTACATGATACACGAATTAGCATTTCATGACATAATTATAATTCTTCAAGCCTTTTCTGCTCTGATTGATTTTTTGGTTAAAGATCCCATCATATACTGAAGAAACATCACCATCACAGATGTGACTGAAAAACTTTTGGGAACAAACAAGACTAGATACAACATTTCAGAAAATTAAAATAACAACAAGCAGAGAGCACTGAACTCAAAAAAAGGTTTGAGACAAACTTAAAATGTGAAATACTGATATCAATCATATTGGCAAGATGATCATGATATATTTAGCAGTCTTTTGTTAAACTTTCCATACAAATGTAAAAATTCTGGGGCTCCTTTAATAATAGCTTAAAAAAAGAAATGTAGTAAAGAAATGTCTCAGTGAGAAAGTAATGAATTCCATAAGAAGGGGAAGACTGGAAAAAAGACAAAATTAAAGCAAGAATGGCATTATGCTGACTTTTATCTTTCCCATTGATATATTTTTAAAAAATTGAACACAAATATCATGCTACCTCGTAAAAACATCTTGGATATTTAAAGATAGTCATAAGCAAACAATCAATATAGAAGCAATTTGTATCCCAGGAAATAAGAGAAACATAAAAGTAACAGTGAAAACCCAATTCCATCACTACTTGTTTGATCATGTATTCCATCAGATATGGCAACAAAAAAACAACACAACCAGTAAATGCAAAGACACTTACAAACACATTGGTCAATACAGGTGCAACAAAATTCTCACATGAGACAGGAAAAGTAAGTAATCTTTATGTTGGCTATCTGGGTGGAAGTCAGCGGAATACTGTAAGCGGATGAACGACGAGGCAAAAATACTCAGTAAATGTGACTAAGTGTCATTGATAAACTCTAATAATTGGAAGCATTCACTGACAATAAGATTAAGTAACAGACAGTTCTTTGATTTGGATTTTAGACGATGTGTGCATGTTTGTTAACTGACTTGAATCTGTGTTCTTTGCACAGAAATATTTTGTTAACATTCATTTTTGAAAGGAAGATGTTTGAAAATGAGAAATGATCCAGCCTAATATGTTCTGACTTGTTTATAATGCTGAAAAGGGCTTTTGTGTACCTATTGTAAAAGTATAGGTAAATTATTATCATACTCATAAAATCAAAACGTTCATATATACAATGACTGTATATGACATATGAGGAAATCACCGACTCTGTGTACATGTCATGAAAAATAAAATGAATTGTTTCAAAGAGAGATCCATATTCATATAATATGCTACTTCATGCATCATTCACTTTCACATATATGACTTGGAAGTGTGTGAATAAGGTGGAACACAAACATGAATATTATAGTGGATGTAATCAAATGACAGTTAGAATGGCAATGCCTACAAGTGCTTCACAATGTTCCCTACCCAAACTGACATGTAAAAATTCTACCACTTCAGTATGACTTTTCTCAGTTTCGCTTATAATTTAATTTACACTACACTGTTATCTCTCTTTTAGACAAAAATTCTGTATGAATTAAATGTTGTCATGAACAGCCATGGTAAACAGTTTGAATTAATATTTACCAATTCCTTGAAACCAACAATAAAATTTCAGCTGTATAAAAATCAAAATAACGTTTAACTCTGTACCGCAAATGCCAAAAATAACATGCTGTCTGAAATATCCTTAGAGATTTCCATTGCAAACTGTGATTAGAGACCAAGCTAACAGCAAAGAACTTTTATTTTTTGACATAAAAAGTATTCAACACATATATCACAATTGTACTTATAAATAAACAAAACTTTTCAATGTTCTCAACAATGGAATTGATATCTCATTACATGTGAACTAACACACTTTGTCTTCCGCTCTCATTGGTCCTTATATTTTTTAAGATAATATATTATATGCAGGGAATATTCTTTGTAAGCATGTATTATATAGGTAATACTTTCATAATTTTCAAAATAACATACTTTTGAAAAACAATTACTTAGTAATAACCATGACAAAGAAACAAGACTAGGTGCAGTCAAATTAAAAAGACTTTTTCCTTAACAAGGTCAATTCAGCATATAACCTGCTATATATATTCAAGTCCATAATCTGTCCTGAACAAATGAAAAGGTATCAAATGCATTACCAAAAAACATAACTGTGCAGTATCTCCTTTTGTTTCTTAAAAAAAAAAAATGTAATTCTATACATTATTTCAATAACAAATTCCTTTGAGGACATTGATACTTTAATGGCAGTTCAGGAAATATGAATAAAAGTGATTGTCCATCTTGGAAGAACCCATTTCCATATTCTCATTATTTGAGGTAAAAAGGAAAAATGTGAGATACAGTAACAGTGAAATTGAATCTGAAATCTCTCTTTTTCTTACATCAATTCTATAATACAAAGAGAAATTATTCTTCCATTATATGAAGAATGAAAAAAACTAAACGAAGGTAAACAGGCAAAACATACTTGCCAACTGACCTTACCAGAGCAAATTTTGTATACAATTTTGATTTAAAATCAATCTCGGCTCTTAGAACAAAAAAACCCAACCAGTTCTGAAGAATAAACCAACTACAGTCACTAGGAGTACCCGTAAGGCGTCTTTTTAGTCCAGAACACTGCCTAATAATCATACATTTTTCATCCCATGAAAAATAATATTTCCACAACATCATAATATACACAAAATTACACATACAATGTTTAAAGTAACAGAAATATCACCGCACATTGAACAAGGAGAAGATTAACAATGAAAACAATCAACGATGTACCACAAGGGCTTTGATTATAGGGGCTCAGCGCTGCCACATTTCACATCCTCCCTCTCCTCTGATCAACTGCAAAAATGCTTTCTTTGACTGAAACAAAAGACATCAGAAAAATGATTTGAAAAGGTGAGATACTACTAGAGCAGTGATGAATAAGTCATTTGGGATACTGAGAAGAAAAGACATGTCGCCAGTTTTGGATACTAAAAAAACCAGTAAGTCATAATTTTTTGTCACATCTAAAAATTTAGACTGGAATCTCAGTCTACTGAATAAAAAATTAATTTGGTTGATGGAAAGCAATCACTTTTACCTTCCAATGTAAAGAGTTTAAACTGTCAAAAATCTGTCCATTTTCTTACCTACTGACCTCTCTATGAGTCTTTAACATAAAATGCCTATGCACAAAAGTATCGTGAGGTCAAAATGACTTATATCTTAAGAATACGACGGAGGCTTTAAAGATTATGCAGGTTGAGTGCTACACCAACTCCCCATGTTTATGACTCCATATAAAAAAGAAATACATCAAACAATATCATAACACTTTAGAACACAACAAAGAACTAAAAATCAAAATGATAAAAAGAAAAACAAACAAATGATGTATTCAAAGAATAATAATTCATGAGATTTCACACAATCTCTTTGCTCCCTCCCTTTTATTCCCTTTCTACTGCTGCTCAAACAAACAGATGTAGCAGCTTTCCTTTCCCTTCCCAATGTCATTAGGTGTCTTTAGGTCTTTAGGGGAGGATATTAACATCTGAAGTTCTTATGCACAGTAGAATTGTAATTGTAAATGGGCTGATTCATTAATGTCATGTTGATAACTGTGCCTGAACTGCAACAGGGAACTGCTGCTTTTTCTTTCCTAATCCTTACCATCGTCATTTTTTGTCTACTTCTTTTGTATGTTTGTCACACTCTTGTGACCCGCTATTTCCGGGGTCCTTTGATAGTCGAAGCAGACTTTGTGCTGTTGAAGCTAGAGAGGTGAGCAGAGTAAGTCTGATTCCCTGTAAGGACCTCCCAGTTGACATCCACCCCTTGGCGCTCATATGACCTTATGCAGTTGTGAGCGCCGTAAAACCTCTATTAAAACAAACAAAATTTTTAGATATATACCTCAATAAACATTGCCAGTGCAACGTTCTGACTTTAATTTTTAACAAACATTGTCAGATGAATTGACAAAGTTTTTTCCTTCTCCCATAAAATGTTGTTTCTGTGGGATACAGGGTTGTTGTACTCGGGCGACGACATGGTTATCAAGGTCAAACAGAGCAGACACACTTGGCAAACGAGGATCTAGACAGGAACAACCCAACATTCCAAATTCATACAACACTGCAAAACAAATCATCAAAAGCAACAACAAACAAGATTGGATGAACAGATGGGTCCTAGGAAAGACAGGCAGAGCAGTTTTCAAACATATGACCACAACAAAAAGAAATGACAATATCAACCACATACAGAGAAAGAAACAGACCACGATCTTCCGCCAACGAACAGAACATACACAGCTCAACTTCCACATGAACAGAATAAACCCGGAACTTCCCCCAATGTGTCCCTTGTGTGACTATGCATATGAGACTGTGGATCATCATCTGTTCCACTGCACAGCCTTAAATGACATCAGAGCAACCCTTCTCCCTCCGAGACCTAACATTGACAACACACTCTATGGAACATTACAGCAACTGCAGCAAACCTGCACTTATCACTACATGGCATTGGAGAGAAGGGCGAGGGCCCAGCTGTTGCTGGATCGATAACAACAACAACAACAACATCAAGGTAAAAATCCAGATCTAAAAATGTATCAAAGAAGGGCTCCTTTTCGTGCAAGTAACTTCACAGGCCTGACAGGAGTTCATCCTTTACCTTATCATTTGGCAAACAAGTTCCCAGACATTCCAGCATGAGTGTGTCCTGAGTAACTGCCTGTTTGAAGTCTGGGTATGACACTCGACCATCGTGATCACAGTCCTGTCAGATAGAAGAACCATCGGAACACACAAGTCAAACAAAGCAATAATGTTATGCTCTAACCGAGTAGCTGGTTCTTTGAAAAAAATATCAATGTATATACATCCTTGTCCTGAAGAAAGATTTTTATAAAGGACCGGCAAAATGACAACGGCAACTGATTTATGCCCACCCAAAAAATGAGTCGATCTTTTCCTTTCAATTACATGGTCAGGCTATAGCATCATTGAATTATGCTTTGGAAATTCAAAAAATTTTAGAAACAAACCCCCCCCCCCCAAAAAAAAAAAAAAAAGAAAGAAAGAAAGAATAAAAATAACCCTTTACTTCTTAGAAATTCTTCTCCTTTCAATTCATTGAAATTTTGAGCCATAGTTTTCAATCCCAAGTACAAGATTTCTGACTTAAAAAAACAATATGTGAACATCAAGGTGATGCTTATATATATCTTGACATTAAAATTGAATACACTATGTATTTAACTCATTCGCTACGCCGAGCCGTGGGGGGCGGCGCGGCTCAAGTGCCGTCAGTACGCTAAGCCGCCCCTGGCCGCTCGAGAACCGACGTTCAATTTTAGCTTGGTTTCTATTCCAATCCACATATCCATGTTAAAATAAAGGTCATAATATAATGTTGACTTCCGGGTCAAGCGTTTCCACCGAAAATCGGAAGTTTTGATTCAGTTTTGAAACATGATTTCGTAGTTTATTCGACTTTGTTTTATCGCGAAGCCCAGACACCAGTCTTAGTACTTTTACACAACAAAATGTATAATTATTTTGCTCACTAAAGAAGTGTAGGACTCTTCTTTATAATATTGATACTATTGGACGCAAATTGCCGGTGCACTGTAATTGAGAAATCAATATATTTGAGTGCTAGATCTAGGCCTAGATCTAAATAGTCAAAATATTTTTTTCTCCCCAAAATCACTACTTTGGGGTGAAATTAATCAAAAAGTACCACTCAAGACATGTATAGGTTTATTCCAAATGCAATTCTGAATAATTCCATATAAGTTACGCTTATTTTTTTCTGTTTGTGATCCTTTTTTCAAAATTATTTTAAAAAATTTTTTTTTTCAATATCGGATGTTATGATCCAAATGTACAAATATTATGGAATGTATGTAAATAACTGCACATTTTTCAATATTTTCCTGTTCTATATACAGTTATGGTTATTTTGAGGTATCATTTGACTAGGTGCAAACATATTTTTTTAGTTTCACCTGAGATTATAAATTTTTTATTTTCCAATTTTATCCGCATCCAATCACAATTGTGTTGCATAATCGCCTCTTACAGGAACCAAAGTTGAAAAATACGCAAATACATAATGCAGATGTATTCTACAAACCATACTGAAAATGTTGGTATATAATATGTTGATATTTATTTGAATTTATGGCCCCCAAGTCCTGTGAACTGCGCACAAGTCATCATCTCATTTCGCCCTCCCGAAAAGAATTCGTCCACAAGCCGAAAATAATACGTAGCGAATGAGTTAATTGACAATAATACTATCCACCCAGGTAGTACGCGCAACACTTATCCCCACGGACCAAGATACAGATGCGGTACATGCTATATCACATCGTCGCCGATCAGCGTCCCAAGGGGAAAAGGTACTGCTTTAAGCCATCCCCCATCGGCGTCCCGTGGGGGCAAAGTGTTAAAGTATGTACAATGAGACATTGAACTGATCATCACATTTATTCAGTCATATGTGAGACACACTCCAAACTCACCAGCTTTTTCAAAGCTGTCTCCACCAGGTCTTTAACTCCCTCATCCGGGTCCTCTTCTGTGGACTGCTACAGCAACAGGGCACAAAGTTACATGTGTAGTCATTTAAGAAATAATGGGCTGAAAACAATGTGAAAATTAATCCTAAAGCTGTTGTGGATATCTGATAACATACCATTAGCAAACTCTTCAATTGTTCTGAGCTCACAAAGCAAACATTTTTAGGAGAGAGAAAATACTGTTTCATACTTTTCAAAATTGTACATACTTCTTGTATCTTTTCCTGCTATTTTTTTCTTTATTCAGAATTCCAATTTTGATAAAATATTTCTTGAGCATATATGATTGATACCATAGGTTAAGAAACTGTGTTTTAAAAAGAATGATAAAATTTGGGTTTCGTGCATCTGAACAGCTGGCTGACGATATGTGAGTGAGACATGATGAACAAATATCACTTTTGAATATCCACGAAATTATCCTTCTGTACCATAATCAATGACAAATAAGTATCCTTAACTTCTTTCCATTCAGAACATGTCATTACTACATAACACTCGTTAAAGTATGCTCATATGATATGAAAAAAAGAGAGCAGAGAAAAATCCATGGGATAACAGCAAGAGCTGAAAATCAGTTTGAATCCCTGAAAGTGATCTATTCACTGCCATGCTGTCATTGAATGAAATCACATAATGTTGATATGTCACCAGGTGAAAATGAAAGAATTCACCAGATACATACCAGAGTAAAAAATAGGCATACCTTCACAAGAGTTGACTTGAGCAAGTGAAACATTTCCTCTCTGGAGATGTAGCCATCAGAATTAAGGTCATAAACCTGAAAACAATCTGAAAGATGACGCTTACATTAATGGGCTGCATTTTAACTATATCATACATATATAACTATTGTTAAATAGGCAAAAAAAGGCATGACTATCACCTCCATCATCATTGTAATGTGACACACAGCGAAAAATATGAATAAAAATCCTCTTTCAATATGAAAAAGCGGAGTCTAAAATGCTCAAAGCAATGAATGGATTGAGATCCATGCCTCAAAGATGAATCTTAAACAGCCAAATGATGATATGCCCAATAAGGTATCCTTACATTTCATTTGATCTTCCAAGTTTCCCACAAGAAGAGTAGAGAGTCCACAGATGAAGTCTTCTGGTCTCAAGTATCCTTTGCTGCCTTTGTCAAAAGCTCTGAAAACTACAGAAGCGAAAAGGGAGTTAAGTTTTATGCTGAAACACAAAACGCACAATCCACACTTCAAGGAAGTAAAGAAAAGAGAAATATACAAAAGTGCTCCATTACTCTCTACTTTCATGTTCCCCGAATAACCATCCTCTGAACTAACAAATATTTTGTTCAACATAAAGATAGCAATACTTCCCCGTCCCACAGACCCCCATTAAAATATCATTCATACAGACCACCAATATTTTAGCTTGAGGTAGATAAAACGAGTAGAGGAAAAATCTACAAAAGAATGTCGATATGTGAGGCATCGTGGTGAAATCAAGCGCTCGTCAAAATAATGAAATCAAAGAGATCTTTTGCCAATAGGCAATTTTTTTCAAATTTAGTATTTTTGGTTCAACACCTTTCATGCCCATTTAAAAACACATCTGTGTGCGGATTTTACTGAAAAACATTGATTAAAGGCACAAAAAACTAAATTTTTAATTTCCAAGAATTTTCAGGCTAAGGAAGTTACCAAACTTTGGAGACCATTTTCTCGCTAATTTTGTTTCTGAAATCAGGCGACCCTGACCTCCTTCAATTGCCAATATTTCTACTCCTATTCAACATAGATGAAAATGTTTTTCACAAAAAGAAAGGCAAATAAACAGGCTTTAAGATGATACCAATTGCCTCATATTATGTCCAAAAACTGATGAGCGCCTGATTCCACCACGTTGTGACATATATATGTTCTCTTTGGTGAAAATAACGAGAAGTCTGTTATAAAGTTAAAGATACTATTCTAAACCCCCTTTTTTTCCTTTCTTTATCTCTGGTAATAAAATTTGAATACTGCTATAGCGTAATAAGACCAACACAAAAGTCGATTATAGCAGAATATTGCGGTTGCTGTGCACAGTGCATAGGCCAATTTTAATGTAAAACCTCTCAAGTGGAGAAACCTTTTGGAGATCTAGTGAAACAAAGAATGGGAGAGCCCATGTGTGCCAACAATGAAGACCGCAGCGAATGAGTGAGGAGCGTTTGGTATGCGCAGACAAGCAGAGCGCATCGCAAGATAGGCCAGCCTAGTCTAGATTATCTAGGCCTACTATGCCTCTCACTTCTCCGATGCGGGGATGGAGAGGTCACAATGCTGTGATGGATGAGGCAAATGTGTGATGTGCTCAAGCAGACGGAATGCACCACAGGATGTGGTGGGGATGGGGAACAACACAGTGGGCGAGTTAGCCTAGAGCCCTTTCTGACTGATCGCCAACACTGAGCTGCAAACATCGCTAGCGTTAGAGAAAGAAAGCTGATTTGATTTTTGATAAAGCAAGACCTAGAGATCATGTTGAACAAAACCATAAACAGGGGAGATAACAAAAAGAAATAAACAGAACACCAAACTCATAGGTTTGGCTTACTTTATTACTTTCCTTGAATTTATTACTGGATCCCCTATAACGAGAATCCTGCTATAGCGTACACTTCGCACCAGTCCCCTCCCTCTCGTTATAACAGGATTCCACTGTATAACATGTACTTACTCCTGTCCATGAGAAAATCATCTGTGATCTGGAAGCTTTTGTGAAGTTCATCTCTGAATCTTACTCTCTCAAGTCTGTGTTTGTGTCCAGCAGTTCCACTAAATTTATTGAACAGCTCAAGCAGAGAAGTAATTTCTAGTGCCGAAACTGAGGAAAAAATAAATTCAATATAATTTCCAAAATAAAAATGATACAAACTTTCCTGAGCTAAATCCAAATTTGATCTAGCAACTCAGTAACACCAGGATATTTCTTTTGAGGAGGCATCAATGGATTCATGCATGGGGCAACAAAGTCACTTGAAGTGGGTCTGAACCCATTTCAAGTCAGCATTCTAAACCATCAATAGTGCCTCAATTTCGAATTGACTACTTGTCACATTTCTAAAACAGGATTGCTAATTGCAACAAGAGATGCTATAAATGTACACCCAGCAAAATTTTGACCAATCGTCTCTTGAATGGAAGGAAATTTTAAAACACACTTTTGAAAATAGTTGTCATTATGCCTTCTCGCAGATGTCATTGTCTTTTCATTCATTATATTTTGACTTGCTAATGAATTCGTATTATCTATTTCAGTACATAAAATACTTTGATTTCATAAAGTAAGCCTATACTATATAACAACTTGAACCATTAATTTATAGTAGTGTTATCTGACATCTCTCTCTATATATATATATACAGTAGAACTATCTGTCCTTAACCTTCCTTTGGTAGGCCTACTTAATTACTAGACAAATTGTGCAATTGCTAACATACCAGTGTCTTGGTCAACAACCGAGTGTCTTCATTGTCAACCTCTGCTGAGCTTAAAAACTCAACTGTGATATATCCTGTTCGGGCAAACATTCTGGTATATCACACGAAGAAATATAATGAGGGTGTGATTGCACTCACGAGAGTGGACGATCTGCGTTGCTATAAGCAGTACGTAACAAAGATCACAAATTTTCATCGCTTGGTTGATAAGCTGCGCTTGAGTTTCTGGTCAGTAAATCATGATCTAAAATGCAGGATCTTAGTCAAATATAGTACTTCAAAGAGAGATCTTTGGTACGACCTTCGTTTGTATAGTTCAAATGGGCGGAGAGTTCTACTATAAGGATACTAGAATGAGCAAGGCTGAGATCCCCTTCGTACTCTGTAATATTAAATTAAAAGGCCCTGCCTAGACTAGGATCGAGAATAGAATCTGATATATCTATTTATAATTGGTGCAAAGTTTAGAACCAGAATCCAGATCACCTGTATCATAGGTATTTTTTTAACTTTCCCTCCCGTCTCAAACTTAGCTAGAAATCTACCTGCAGTTGTCAATTTTCGACTAAATATTAATGCGCTGAACACGAATATCAATTTCATTTCCGTCGCATATTAATAGTTTTTGAAATATTTGATTGTCCTTAATCGTGATAGACCAGCTTTGGACCAATCGGGGAGGGTTCCAGGGGGG